ACCTTCCCTCTAGTCTTACACTGCTAAATTAGGGACGGCTAGCGCAGATAGCCCTCGTGTGGCTTTGTGCGAAATCCATAACAAACAGTCGACACCTAGCTTCACCATATTACAACCCTGCTATATAATTTCTCTTGTAACACTTTCTCAGTAAGAGAAGGTAAGGGAAGGTTGAAATTCATTGATATTGTAAGTAGTAGTTTGCTTATATTTTCCTATTGCTCATAAAATAGGTTTAAAGCTCGCCACGTTTGTCTGACGATCAACCAATTTCTGGAGGAAAAAAGGGAGACACTGGATGTTTTGATGCCACGGAAACAGTATTACTGTCCCTGTAAAACTTTCTTCTCGAATAAAAGTGTATTGAAAAAACACTCTCACAATCAAAAGTTGCTACATCGATACTGGTGAAATAAAAGCTTGGTCATATTTATAGCTCACAAAAGTAGCATATATCGATAGATTTTTTTTTAACCAGATTTGTTTTTATTTGTAAACCTTATTTACTTATGTTAAGATAAAGTTTACTGTCATTCTTGTAGTCTTTCGAAAAGTGTTTAGTGGCGGTTTGGACTCATATTTTATTCACGTACACTGAAGGTATTTAAAACACTTAATCAAAAGTATTGTTGCATCAGCGAGGACACGTGACTAGTATCACGCCACGTCCTTCTCGAACCTTCGTGAATTGTCGGGAGATTACTAGATAGGTGTTAGTATTGTATATATAAGACGGTCACAACGTGACGGAACAATGATTGTGTAATTGAACTGCGGAGAGAGAATATTGTTGAGCACGTGAAACGTTCGTTGAGAATTATAGCGTTTGTTATAGCGCGACTGTTGAAATTAAGTGTATCGCAAAGTTATATTCAGAAAGAATAAATCAGTTTTATTTAAGAAAGTTTCTAAAGTTTCGTCGGAACGAAGTTACGGAAAATTAACTAACGAACGGAGACGTAACAGTATCATGAATGGGCTCATTAGGCTGTGTAAACATCACAGAAAAAAAGTGCCAATGTAAAATGCAGAATTAAATGCCGAAAGCTGGAGAAACAATGGAAACAACTGATTATTTGTAATTAAGCCCAAAGCTACACAATGGGCTATCGGTGCTCTGCCCACCACGGGTATCGAAACCCGGACTCTAGCGTTGTAAGTCTGCAGACATACCGCTGTGCCACTGGGGGGCGGAAGCAACTGACCTAAAAGTCTTGTCTGATTTTTTTATGAGGAGTGTTAGGCCTACATGAGACAATAAATGATACTTTCCGTAACTCGCCTAACAGTCTAGCCTACTATTTTTTCTATCGCAACTATTTTGTTATGTATAGTTAGAGTTCGAAGCTAGCTCAGGCAACTATGTACTTTCGGACATAACCTACATCTTATTAAAATACTTATTACATATAGTTTATCATAACCTTATTAAAATAGTCGTTACCCGTAAACTATCGAGTGATATACATAAAATGTACGCAACTATTTTACCCTTTGGGCTACATCAAGTGTAATGTACTGTTCCAGCATTGAAGAGAAACCAACTTTAAACATTGCATGGTATGTAATAAAATATAACAAGCAAATCTCGAGAAGGCAATAATATAAATCAAATTTCAATTTATGTATTGACGTTCTGAGAGTACAGTTCGCCACGAACTAGAGATTTAATGATCTAAACTCTCAAAACACAAAAATAGTTTTTCATTTCATTTCTGCTATGAGGCTACTTCAGGTGCTAGCTCTACAAAAGTTATATTAAAATGTACATGAACCATGGTTTTTCGTGAACAAATATCCACTTAATAATATTTAACTTATAGTAGTTATTTCATTCGTTCGTAGTGTCTTGTATGTGTGCCTTAAATAAAAAAAAAGTAGGTTGTTACTGCGCATATGCAATAATTTACAGAAATCATGCTTTATTTACACATGTAGTTTTGTTTAACTTACGAGCTCAACCTGAATTTAATTCTTTATGCAAATACTTAAAAAAATACATACGTAATTATATTGTATTCATTCACGTTCACTGGATCGATTTAAAATGTTTAATTAAAAATACTATGAATGGTATCATTAGTTCCATTAGCGCATAAAGGATAATAAGTATGCCCCGCCCATAAATTGAAAATCTGCTATAATTTTGTGAAAGCAGCATAGCTTAAGGGCATAGATTCATTAGATTCAACATCATTTCAGTGAGAAAAAACAGTAAAGTTGGTTTTGAGAATGTCACTTCATTAGATAGAAGAAATTAAATACTGTAGTTTTTGAATGATATTCGGAAATTATTATGTTTATTTCGTGTGAGCCTAGAAATCTTGATGTTTCAGGTGAACTTCTGAGGCGTCATTAATATTTTACTGTAATTGTATAAATAAATACAATAAAGTTAATGAAAATAACACAGTGAAAACAGAATAAAAATAAATGAGAAAAGTAAGATATTTACATCAGAATTGAAATTATAAAAGTTACTATTTCTGATGGACAGCAGTTTGTTTATGACAAATAATTTTCAGAAGTGATATTAATATTAGTGTTTCAATTTTGCAGAGCAGTCTCTCTTGGTTCAGTCTTATAAATCTAAAATAGATAAAAATAATTCCTGGCCTTTGTAATTATCGTTACTAATGTGTGTGTGTGTGTGTGTGTTCTATAGCTTGCGATTTTCTGGCGCTTAGTTATTTTAATTCGTTTTAACGCACGTGTCATAGCACGTGACATTACCATTGTTAAGTCAGTTTTTAAGTGTTATACATGCTCCTTTCGGTTTACAGTTTGCGTTTATATGTGACGCTGTAACTATTAAGAAATGCGTAAGCCGAAACGTTGGGTTTAAATGAAGTCGTTTTTTTTTCTTTTCTGAAGTGTGATTAATTTTGTTTAGTAAGCATAGTAATACATATTGTCCTTTAAACAATAAAATAACACTAAACGTATTGTAGATATATTAACATTAATTAACTTTGTAATTATCGCGGTAAGTCTGAGGGTTTATAATGCTAAAAACTGGGCTTAGATACCCGCGAAGAGTAGAGGACAAATAGCTTGTTTTGTAGCTTTGTGCTTAAGAACATACAAAAGGACAGTAAATCTAATTTTGGCTGTTTCAGTGACGTAACAAAAGCTTTTTTTCTATGACTCCAACAATGAAATCTCTTTATATATATGTGTGTTCATAAAACAAATTTTTGAACTACTGCGGGGGATAGTTAATTATATATTTTGTCAGCTGTCTTGCTGCAGAAGTTCTTTAGCTGTTAATTGTTAAATATTTTGTTAACAATAAGTCAAGAGTCTAATATAGAGGACTTTTGAAATTCGAAAATTTGCCAAAAAATGGGCTGTATTAACTTATGTTGGAGAACGTAATAGAAAATGAAGACATTTTTCAAAAAAGTTGTTTGTGCATATCTTGAATGATTTGTTTAAGTATTTCTAATTTTCTTTCAATTATTATGAAATAGTCACTTAACAAATACCAAGAACAGCATCTCTTTACTGATTTACCGAAACTCTTAAAATATTTTTTAATCATAAAGATGAATTTTAATGGTAAAATATCCTAGGAGGCAAATAAAATCTTCTTCTGTGTTAAAAATTCTTTCTGAACGTATATCATGTCTTTAAATGTATACATGAGTAACGTATAAATTCTAATTAAATGTTTCGTTCAAATATTATTAAACTCATAGATTTCAATTCGTGATAAAAAAAAGAAAAAGAATTAGATAAACTGGTTATGACAGATAAAACTGTCAAGCTGTTATTGACTATCAACAAATATTTTAACTTTGAATGAAAACTAGAAAATCGACTTATTAAATGCCCATTTAGATAAATCAAAGTAAGTACTGAATAAACTTTACTTGTATAAAGGTCTTTAGCGTCTTAATGAAGTAACGTCGATACTTCTTAGTTTGGTTATGATAAAATTACGTTTACATCTAAAAATCTCACAACTTCTGACAGTTTAAAAAATTAAATTACAAAATGATGCGCCTAAAAGATAGGTTATGTACAGTTACATTTTAATGATTTAACCTCGGATGGATTGGGATTTGGCAATATAATCCACAAAGTCGAGACTTTTTTTGATTACTTAATTTAAGCCAACACTGGTTCAGTAGAGTTTTATTTAGTTTTACTTCGAACTTGTAAGATTGTTTCATTTTCCCTGGCTGGTTTAGAAAATGAAGATGTAACAAAATAGAAACCTGCTTCGAGAGAATCTTCTCCAAACACTACTGTGAAGGTGGAATCTAGGATAGTATATTGAAAGTTGACGAGGGTCAAACCAAACACATTTCTTCGCTTAAATTGAAAGCAGGATGAATCATTTAAAGATCATAGCATTGTGCCTAAAGTAAGCTGAGGATAATTTTATTTGATGTTAATATTTATTAGAAAAGTTAATAAAAGAAATTTCGTTTAGACAAATTTTCAGAAGGAAATTATACATTGTACGTTACCAGAATATCGGTTTCATTACACTTCTCAGTGAATTCTAATCCAGCTAACTTCCACGTTCCTCTTCTGTTAACGATTACAGACTGTGGACACACGTTTCTGTGGATAAGCTTACACGAGTAATGCAGAAAAGCCAAACCTTCAGTAATCTACAAGAAAAAGATAAAGAAAAGTTTTATGTTATTAATCTCATACAGAAGGTGGTAACGATAGATTATCTTAATACATTATAAATAAACAACCAGATGTACAAGTAGATATGCAAGAATATTACTTATTAGAAACGTAAACAGATGAGTCAGCAGTAGACAGAAAACCATTTATTATGGAAAAATGTTCTAGTGAGGTGTCAAGTACAGTTTAATTAGATAGCCATTTGAATAATAAGATTTTCTTTTCGTTTAGTGCTGACATTACTGTTATAAGTCAGGTAAATAAGAAGAGTATTAAGAAGAACCTATAAACAAAGTATAGGAAAGTCAAATAGGATAAATGCATTTAGTAAACAGTTTCACAGAAACAAAGAAGTAGGAGCGTAAAATCTATAATATACAGGGTGTTGAGTACATTAAACTAAAACGGCTTTGAACATGAAAATCAATAGGTAATGGATAAACTTGGGGAATCTGGACCATCCAGAAAGAGACCTGCAACAAGTCGCACACCAGCCGTGGGAGGCAAATCGAGGCGTCTTGTATGATGGGAAAATTCACAAACACAAAGGTCAGCAGTAAAACCAGCTCATGTGTCCTAGGTAATAGTAAGTAACATAAGCAAAAAAAAATTCCGTTTTGAGAAGGGATACAAGTCACGTGTATGTAATTTACTTCTACGATATATCACTTCAACTGCCACATACCTCCTGTAGTTGGAGAAAGAAATGGGCATTCATGCTATTCAGTTTAAAGAAAAACTGGTCAAATTGCATATGACTTTGGCTTTCTGTGATGATTGAGCTGTTGAAGTGAGCCTTCAGGGAGGAGTGTGCCTTTTTACGTGATAGCTTTACAAAAGAGTCTTTTGCTATGAAAACTACGGAGCAGGACTACTGTCAAGATGCACGGTCATTAGGTAGAACATAACCGGGCTTAGCGTCTTGGTGAAAATCCAAAATTGTTTTAATAAAACGTACTCAACCTCTGAATAGAAACATCCATCTAGTTATCTATTTAAATATACCTAAACACGCATTTGCTTGAAATCAAACCATTTCTTAAAATTTTGTAGGAAAAATTAAGTACCTTATAATTAAAAGCACAAAGTATCACTCCTAATAAAAAATTTCGAAATATCTATAATATTACAATTGTAACGAATTTGTTATTATATATATTTATTTTAATATTAACGTTTATTTAGATTGAATTTATATTTAGAAACATACATAACTTATACTGTTAA